TCAGCTATAAAAAAGAATGAAATACTGCCATTTGCAATGACATAGATGGACTTAGTCAAGTGAAACAAGTCAGGCACAGAAAGAGAAATATCACATGTTCTCACTTATTTGTGGGAGCTACAAATAAATAAATACCCAAATAAACTGGGGGGTTTGTAGGGAAGAAGACACAACAATTACAATTCCTTGAAGTTGATATGACAAGCAAACAGATATAAGGTTGTTGGGAGGGAGTGGGGAGTGGGAGGGAGAGAGAGGTTTTGGTAATTGGCCACAATAATCAACCACATTGTATATTGACAAAATAAAATAAAATTTAAAAAAATGTTTATTTAACAATTCCAACATCTTTTGGAATTGTTGGTTGGCATCTGCTGATTGTCTCTTACCTTGAGATTTGGTCATATTTTCCTGGTTCTTGATATTGTTGATTGATTTTGGATTGTATAATGGACATTTTGAATTTTATGTTGTTTGGATTTGTTGACATTTCAGAATGTTGATTTTTTGTTTGTTTGTTTTTGTTTTATCAGGCAATCAATCCTGTTAGTTTCAGACATATTCTGCCTTGCCTTCTGGCATGTTTTCAATGTCAGTCTTGTTTTCTAAGTTTTTGCTATGTTGCTTTGGCTCTATTCTGCTTATGTGCTATTCCGACATTAGTCTGAGACATGGGCAGTGGTTTAAATTTAGTTCAGTTCTCAACATCTTTGCTATACTGCTTTAGATTTGAACCTGACTTATCCAGGTTCAAACACAGAATTATAGGACCACCTTCCACAGCTTGTAGGATTACATTTGACTTCTGACCAGAAAGATGGGGTTTCAGCTTTCTGTGCCACTGCCTCAGTGCAGCTCTATGACTGAGACCACAGTTAGATACAGATGGGCAAGAAAAAGGAGAAAAAAAAGGAGGTTTCCCTTTGTGCTCTTCTGATTACTTTTCTTGGTTCCTCTTGCCAGAAAGACAGTGTTTCTGTTAAGATTTTAGCCAGTAATAAGACAAATGATTCAATTAAAAAATAGGCAAAAGATACTGATACACACTTCACCAAATAAAATATAAATAAGGACATGAAAAAATGTTGTTAGTCATTAGGGAAATGAAAATTAAAACCACAATGAGATACCAGCATATACTACATGTATTCTAAAATTAAAAAGACTAAGTGATGGTGAGGTTGTGGAAGAACTTGAACTATAATATACTACTGGTAGAAATTTAAATGGCATGGCCACTTTGGAAAATAAGTTGGCAGTTTCTTAAATAGTTAATTGGAAATATCTCACCCCAGTTAAAATGGCTATTATCAAAAAGGCAGAAAACAACAACAAAAAAACCAGATGCTAGTGAGGATGTGGAGAAAGGGGAACTCTTTACATTGTTGGTGGGAATGTAAATTAGTTCAGGCATTACAGCAAACAGTGTGAAGTTTTCTCAAAAAAATAAAAATAGAACTACCATAAGATCCAGCAATCCCACTGCTGGGTATGTATACAAAACAAAGGAAGTTAGTATGTTGTGGAGATATATGTACTCCCATGTTTATTGCAGCAAAAATTCACAATAGCCAAGATATGAAATCAACCTAAGTGTCTATCAGTGAATGATGGATAAAGAAAACATGAATATTCACAACGGAATTTTATTCAGCCATAAAAAATAGTGAAATCCTGTCATTTGCAGCAACTTGAATGAGCCCGGAGGACATTTTGTTAAGTGAAATAAGCCAGACACAGAAAAACAAATATCACATGTTCTCATTCATTTGTGGGAGCTAAAAGAGGTGATCTCACGGAGGTTGAGGATAGACTACTGGTTACTGGAGGCTGGGAAGGGTAGGGGAAAGGAGGGATGAAGAAAGGTTAGTTAATGGGTACAAAAAATACAGTTATGTAGAAGGAATAATTCTTAGTATTTGATAGCATAGTAGGGTGACTATAGTTAACAATAATTTATTGTATATTTCAAAATAACTAGAAAAGAAGAGTTGGAATGTTCCCAACACAAAGAAAAGATGAATGTATGAGGTGATGGATATCCTAATTACCATGATTAGATCATTATACATTGTATACATGTATTAAATTATCACATGTACCCCACAAAATGTACAATCATTGTATAGCAATAAAAAAGTTAAACATATACTCACCATATGATTCAGTCACTATACTCCAAGATATTTATCCAAGAGAAATAAAAGCATATGTCCACACAAAAACTTGTACATATCATTATTAATTAAAAAAAAACTTTTTAAATACTTTTTTTTTTGTGTGTGACCAGTAAGGGGATCGGAACCCTTGGCTTGGTGTCGCCTGCACCACACTCAGCCAGTGAGCACAACGGCCATCCCTATATGGGATCCGAACCCACGGCGGGAGCGCTGCTGCGCTCCCAGCGCCGCACTCTCCCAAGTGAGCCACGGGGTCGGCCCTTAAATACTTTTTTGATTTGTCATAGTAGTGGGAGATTAAGGTACGTGACAGGAGTTTGTAATTTAGTTCTATTCTGTATGTCACACTCAGGGAACATACTTTAAGTGCTGACTTTATTAGAAAAATAAATTTTTATCACCAGTATCTATATTCTCCACTCAAATAATAATAATAATAAAAAATTGAAGCATATTTTACTTTTTTCTGCTCTGCTCCCTCTTCCATATTTCTATCATCTGAAAATTTAGTTCCAAGTTATTAAAATGATTTTTGTGGTGAAATTTTAAAAAATTTAACTCCAACTTGGATTTTTTAAAAAATAGAGAATCAATGGTGATCAACTTAGAGCCTTTGTATATCCCAAACTGTCTTTATTTGACCTTCTCTTTTGTGTGATAGTTTGGTTGCATTTTTAATTCTGATCACAGTTTTTTCCCTCAGCCCTTTGCAGATGTTTCTCCATTACCTTTTCATATGTGCTGTGGACAGTGACGGATGTGCAGTATCATTATAATTCTCGTCCTCTGGAATTTCAGTTCTAGCAAATTAGTACGTCTTGTTTCTTTGATTGCTTTGAGAATTTTCTTGATCTCTGAGAGTCTTAAGTATCACTTTGGTACATCTAGGTTTCTCTTAAAATTTGAATTGCTTATTTGCTGCATGTTTTAAAAAATCATCCCTACCACTTTGTGAGATTTCTTAATCTAAGGACTCAAGTGTTTCTTTAGTTTTGGGAAAGTGTCAGCCATTATTAGTTTTTCAAATATTCCCTCTCTTCCACTTTCTTTACCTTCTCTTTCTGGGTTGCCTCCTAGATAAACATTGGAAATTTTGGCTTTCCGCCCCCTCCCCCCTTGTGCTGTATTTTGAGGGATTTCCTCAGTTTATCCTCTGCTCAGTTTTAGCTCTCAGCTTGTGTGTTGAGATGGCTTTCTTTCTAACTGGTTCCTTTTTTCAGTTTCAGGTCCACTCACAGTTTTGCAGCATGGCTTTCCATTTATGAGTTTATTTTAAAAGCTCTTTTCTATGATGAGTCAAAATGGATTTGGTGAGAAAGAGATTTTAGTGTCTACTCAGCCCATCATTTTGAAACTGGAAGTCTCTGCTCTATTCAACTGTTTTCTACTCAGATTGTAGTAGAAACAAGCATTAATTTTATAATATCAATCTAGATTCAGTATTAGAACAAATAGAATTTACAACATTTGTAAATTTGTGCGTTATAGGTGGTCTCATTTTAAGTCTAATTAATTGGCCCAAGATCTCCCTTTATGCGTTACAACTTAGTGTTTGGACTTTGAAGTTTGCATTTGGTCATTATTTGTGCTAATCTTAAGAACATACTCACCTGTGGTTGAGAGTGTTCCTGCCCGGGCCCCTGTTTTATAGAGTGGGCAGTGGTAAACTGTTTGGCTTGGCTCATAATTTTGTTGTGGTTCAAAATGCACCACAGGCAGCATTGGATTCATCTGCCCGGGCAATGCGTCTTCTATCACCATCTCCTCGTCATCCCATCGAGAAGCATCCATGAACATCCCATGAACAAGAACACCATCCTCAGGAGAGGGCAACTGGAAGACACCCAGAAATTTAAAGGTGAGAGGAGGAGAAGGGGATCAGCAGTTGGGGGCCATCTCCTATGTCCCACATCCTCTCCAAGTAATTCTAAAAAACGCTATATATTGCTGTTATTATTCACATTTTAGAGGGGGGAATCCTGAGGCACCAAGAAGTAAAATAACTTGCTTTTCAGTTTGACACCAAATCTCCTACTTTTCATACCCCAGCAGGATGTCTGATAAAGGATACCCCTGGGAAACCCATTTATGGGCTTCAGACTATCTGATATCATGATATAATGAATTTTCCCCTTCTTGTGGGAAGCAGATTGGATAAGAGGGCCAGGATTATCATCTGTTATTCTTATCAAGATCTTTCAAGGATCTGGATGCCCTCCTAGAAGATAGATTATATATCTGCAATAACATTTGCAGAGTGCCTATGAATGAGTTCCTTTTTTCTTTTCTTTTTTAAAAAATTATTCTTCCATTTTAATGTTTCTACTAAATGGGTGGCGGGGAGGGGGGAGGGAGAGATTCTGTCCCTCAGTGTCCTATGAGTGGGTGTCTCCACTGGTGTACAATTTTTGCCAGTTGTGGGCACCTATGTCAACCTTCCTCAAACACTGAGTGAATTTGGCCAAATCTGGCCCCAGACCTTTGGATAATTGGAGCCTCACATGTGCAGGCAGAGGACTAAGCAGTGCAGACAATATGTAGTGCATTTTATAGTGAATACAAGGATAGTAAACTACATTCTTTTTGGCTGGTCATTGCTTTTGGGTGTCCTGAACTTTCTGTTTCTTGGGTGGGGTGAGCTCTCCTGTTTTTGAGGCTGCTTTGCATGCTTGTGTAGGTTTGCCTGAAAATGCCCTGCTTCCTACTTGCCAAGCCACATGTAGGAGCTATCTGGGCATCCCCAGAGGGAGTGCCTTTTTCCTCAACTGCACAAAGGTGGCAAATGGGCTGACAGTAGCCCTGCCTGTTTGTTACAGAAATAAAGCTGCCTAAACACATACGCTTGCTGTCCCTTGCAGACATTTGCTGGGTGGTCCAGGAGACGGACAGCTAGACAATTTGAGGTCTGCACACATCTCAGAGATTCTAAAGCATTGTTATGGCTCAGTGCACAGGTCCTAAGCAGAAGCGTGGTGTGAACTGGGGTGCAGTAGGGTGACAGAGGTCCCTGCTGCTCACTGTAAACTTGTGTCTGTGGCAGGTGGAGTGTGCCTGGCACAGAGCAGGGGCAGCATCCTGGGAGGCTTCGATGAGGGCTTTTATGTGAGTGTTGTTTTGCCTCATGCAGCCTCATTTATTCCTGACATGAGCCTGGGACACCTTCCTGGCTGAGAAGGGTCTCAAAATAAGGAGTGCATCTCTAAATATATTTTCTCCTTACTTTAAAAAATATTTTGATGCTAAAGCACATTTCTTTAAAGACAAGCATTTGTCTTTGCTTACTTCTAAAATGGTGGAACTTCCTGTGGGGACCAATACTTGAGCTCTGTGGTTGAGCTAAATTGCTGCTTTGTGGTTGATTCCCTGGGGAAGGCTTTTTGTGCATCTCAGGTTTTAATGGTTGACTTTATAGGTACTTTTGGCTCTCAAGAGATCTAAAACTCTGGTCTGGGCCTGATCTTTTCATCAAACTGCACCCCATGCAATTCTATATTCCTGACCAGTCTCCACTGAGTGGTTCTTTGCTGATAGGGGTGTAGATCATCTGTCCTTGCTGTACCCCAGTGTTCTTCCGGTGGGCCTGTCTTCCCCACTGCCTGTGCTGCAAACACTTCCCATGGGGTAGGCTGTGCACCAGTCCCTTATGATGACTCACTGGCCTCTGAGTGGCTCCTTTTTTTCAGTTGTCATGGCTCCTCGCTCCTATGTGAGTCCATGGGAAACCTATTAGTGGTCCTGCTGGCCCAGGGGCCACCAAGGCCCTCTTTTCCCCTGCCACCTCCAAGCAACTTCATACAAAGGGCACAGCTGCAGCTTTTGCCAGCTCCTGCTCCATGTGCTCAGCAGCTCCAGCCTGGACATGGCTGGGGCTCAAAACAGTCCAAGCAATTTTTCTTTCTCTCATCGTGGCTTCTCCTGCCTTCATGCACTCTGTAGGTCTCTCTTCCTCTTCCTCTGAGCTCTAGCAGCCCCAGCTTGGCTGTTGTTGCTTTTTTATAGTTGTAAATTGGTTGATTTGTGGGTGAGAGTGACGCTGGGGACTGTCTATTCTGCCATGACTGGAAGTCTAGGTCCAGTCTTTTCTTCAATAAATCAGTTTTGTGATGAAGGGAAAAAAAGGGACTACTCTACCTTCAGCATCTATACTGAGTTCTGTTGAATTTTCTTCTGCAGTTGCATATGGATTGTTTCCAACCATTGGCACAAGACAATCAGTATAGAAGTAACCAATCTTAGACATATTCAAATAATTAGATCTATTGCAAGCTGGCCAACATTTCCAACAGATGCTGCTGGCATCGGGAGGGTGAAGCCCGTGAGGTCAGGGGCCAAATGCTCCCAGGGAACAAACATAGTCGTGGTGGTGTGGGCCTGTAGGATTTGTTAAATATGGATTTCTAGGTCCCAGTCCAGAGTATCTGATTCAGTAGGTCTGGAATGGGGCCTGGGAATTTCTACTTCTAATAATTTTCCAGGGGATGCTAGTACTGCTGGTCTGGGACTGCACTGCATTAGAGTGAGTAAACTATGTAAGTAAATTGGTTTAAACTGTGTCTTTGTGCCTTCCTGTTAGCTATGTAATGTAGTTATAGAATGTATGAAGTTAGCATGTCAATTCTGCTAAGAGGTGGCTGAATGAATGATGTAGATATATTTAGCCTATAATAATATTTATTGTGGGTATACTGTGTGCTGGTCATATGACATTTGCTGGTTCATTTACACCACACTACAGCTCTGAGGTTGGTGGCATCAGCCCCATTTTACAGATGAGAACACTGAGGTGCAGATGTGTTAGCAATTGCTCCAGCAGACACAGCTGGTGAGGGGGAGAGTCAGGATTCAAACTCAGGCTTGTCTGATTCTCAAACTCTTGTTTTCAAACTCTTGTTTTACTGCCTCTGCAAGATGGAAATAGTTACTGTAGGTATTAAAATAAATCAAATAGTATTGCTTTGAAAATATTTCTATAAATCAGACCAATTTAGGCAGCTCCCATCTGATCACTGCTAACTGGGGAGCTTGTCTTGGGGGTATGATTACCATCCTGTCCCTCTTGCTCCTGCGAGTGGGGGGCAGTAGGAGAGTGGGGCAAGAGAGATTGTCTGAAATCTTGAATGAGGGTGGGATTGCTTTGTGTTACTGCTTTGCTGTCACAGTTAGGTGGGTGATACCTCCAGGTCCATGGGCAGTTCTTGTCCAAACTGCACTGTCTTGGCAGCTTCTATCACTGCAGCTTGATCTCGATAGGTAGGAACCACTTTGTAGTCGAAACTCAGCTCGTCTATAGGCAAATTGTATTTCCGAGCATGATTCTGAAGAGTTCCTGAAAATATGAAAACCAGAAAGCTGGGTCCTCCAAACAGTGCTACTCCCCAAACACTGTCCCCCCTCACCCCAACCAGGCATTAGAGAGCATCCTCTCTGTAGAGAAAAACTGACTATTAACACCTGACTCTAAGCTACTTCATAGGGACAGGAAGCCTGCAGGTCAGGCTGGGAGGTAAGGACCCACGAATGGACAAGTTCTGGTCATAGCTGGGAGGGGAGAGAGGAAGGCTGAGTCTGAAGTGTACCGCCCTGCCACAAGGGAGACAAACCAGTGAGGATGTCTCAGAGCCTGATCTCCCTAGCGTTAGGATCTTGCCCAGTTTGTTTTATATGGGCTTTTTATTAGGGATTAAGAATGGGGCAGATTGAGGGCTGAGCTAACTAGCATCTAGTAACCCCCTGGCCCTCTCTGGGGTCTCTAGCCACATCACCCAAAGTCTGATGGAGGGACATCAAGATTATTTTTTTAGAGGGAAGGAAGCTGCTCAGAGCTGGGGAGAGCAGTTGGTGCCCTTGGGCGTGGCTCACACGGGAAACTGAGGCACGCACTATGTGTTCTTAGAGGCAGCGGTGTCTGCATCTGAGACAGGCAGGGGTTAGGTTGCTGGGGAACATCTGTTGTTTCTGCCTCCCTTTCCCCCTGGCAAGTGAGGAAGAGCAGGATCTTGTTGGACTGTCCTGTAATCAGTAGCCCCACCGTTAGCTGCCATGCTATTTCCCTAGCTCCTAGGAACCCTGTGTAAAACAAATCATGACCTTTCCTGTGGAATTTTTCTAGGTGAAGCACTGGTACCTGTTAGAAATCCTTGAGGAAAGAAGAAACCAGAGATCCAGTAGGACTTAGGCTGTCCTCTCTTGAGCCACAACTGAAGGAAAAACATTATATCATAAGGCACTTATTTCTGAGATGAAGTTTGTCATCTAAACCAAAGTCATATTTTGGAGGGCAGCTCAGGAGGCAGAATCTAAGCCAGTCCTGAGTTAGTCACCACCCCCATTTTACTGCTTGCCCATTCCCTTTCCTCTTCCACCAGCCTGACTGCAAACCCAGCACCTGGCTATTACAAGGGGTCTACCAGAGGGAGACAGCAGCAAAGTTACATCTGTCTGTTTGGACCCGTCTCAGATTGGTTCTGTATCTCATAATGGGGTCCCCTAAACTAGAACTGAAACCCCAAGGATGACCTGGATTAAAATGGAATGTGGGGATAAGGGCCTAGGGCAAACAACATTATAAAAAGTGTCAGACTTTCAAAGTGATGCCATTCTGGAAGTTTCTCTTTCTTTGGGCTCAGACGATCCCTCGATGGTTGTCGATGTTTGTTATATAGAGCTTCCTAGGGACCTTAGGGCAAACCATATCCTCAGGTTCATCAAACCCTAAAGAAGTGAATTTTCTTACATCCACAAATGCAGTCCTCAGAATAAGGTCTTTGACCCATGATCCCAATGGCTTCAGGGACGGGTAGGCTGTGTTGGACCACAGAGAGGGAACCTGGTTGTTGATGAAACTGTTATACACCTTTTCCATTTCTTCAGACATCACCACAAGTCCAGCAATGGCTTTGTTAAGGGTTTCTAGAGAAGTCTGAAAGAACAAAAAAGGATTGGTGTCCTTCACAAATGTAACGATCAAGTGTAAACGACACTCGTCATGGCAGCAAGTGCTGCCTTGGGCTGAAGGGCCCACATGCTGGGCTCCATCCTCTCTGAACACCATTTTCTGGGCCAGACCCTCTACAATTTCATGCATTTTTCCAACACTTGACTATTGGGGTGTAACACTTGGGGTAGGGGGATGTTCAGGAAGTTAGTGGCAGAGTCCAGTGCAGTGGAAAGATGGGAAACAGGAGAAATGTCCCCTGAAGCCTAGAGAAATGTCTCTGAGAAATGCTACTGTCCAGCTCTCCTGGCTGAAGGAAAAATGGGCCTGATAGTGATTTGGGGGCTATGGGGTGTGGAGAGGTGGGGGAGGGGGAATTGGGAACCAGCTCATGCCAGTGGCCCTCTGTGCCCATGGGCCCCAGAGTTGTAGCAGAAAGGGGAGATTCCTAGATGAGACCAATCTTCTGGCATATCAGAAGTTCTCTTTGAACTGGAAACACTTCCTTTAAAACATGTCCCTTGTCCTTCCTCGTCTCAACAAAAGACAAAGGCAGGCAGTGGTCCTGGGAGACACTGGGCTGTCAGTAGGCAAAGGAAGCACAGGGCGATGCTTGCCACCTGGCTAAAGACAAAGGCAGAGCCAGAGCACATAGACTGGGTATGGCCCTCACGGGCTCCAGTTTTGTGAAAACTGCCATATATTGGGAAAATATAATAGGAAGATGATACAGACCAAATCTATGTTGATTAAACAACAAAATAAGGCCAGGACCACATGCACATAGTCCTAGAGACAGGCAATGTGTAGATGAAAGAAGGCTTTTTATCCTTCCAGTCCTTCAAGATTTATTCATTGGCTTCTCCTCCCCGCACCTCTTTCTACAAGAGACAGTGGTAGAAAAAAAGAAGGGTTTTAATTAGATTTGTCCTTTGGATCTGAGGGACCATTTACAGCAGAGTGCAGGAAGGAGACTCTCAGCCATAGCCAAGAAAGTACTTTATGTTAGACACTAGAAGTGGAAAAGGTAGCCGAAGACTTATCTAGAATGCAGGGAGAACCATGAAATGAGAGAGATGGAGGGATCAGACTGCTGGCAGCTTCAAGGTCTGCTTCAAGTGGACAGAGGTCACATGGCAGTCACTTCTCCCAAAAGAGGCAGCTGGCACATAGATGTATTAAAGGGGAGAAAGCGTACTTCACACGCTTCACCTGTGGCTAGAGACTGGAATAACACGGTGGCCTCACACCCACAGGACCTGCCAGACTCACGCTTCTGTAATCATCTGGAGGCAGCCCCACCAGGTGTCTGGTGCCGCCTTCCCTTTGGTCTTTCTTTTTGCCACCACAGCACTGCCTTGCCGTTTCCAGCAGGAGGGAAGGGGAGGCTGGAAACAAAGCCGGGGCAAGGCAGGACTGGGTGGAAGTCAGGCTGTGGAGGGCCTCTGGTGCAGCACGGCATGCGGCGGCGGGCACCACTCCAGGCGCACACCCCTGGATGGGAGTGCGTGGCTGGGCTTCCTGATGGCCCTGCAGGCTGTGTCTGCCTGGGCTCCTCTCTTCACATGTCCTTTAGGTGAATTCCTTGTTATCGGTGGACTGGGTTTGTCTGACCAGAGGAAGCTACCATGGGGACACTTGAGATCCACATTCGTTCTCTTGTGTATTCAAATGTTCATGGAAGATTTAGTACATCGGTTACTAAGGAAATAGAGATATACAGTTCCCTTGTTTTTAACTTCTTTGTATGTGAGAGTAGCCATGCTTATGGTGGGTAATTACAAAAAATGTGGCAAGTACAGTAATAGACACAGGTGCTTGAAATGGTGGAGCCCTGAGGAGGGCTCCTGAGTCATCTGGGGCTGGAGGGAAGGGCTGGTGTTCCAGGAAGATGTTATGGAGGAAGTGACATTTGGACTTGTCTATCCTCAAGTGGATGAAAGGTCATGATGTGGAAAAGGCAAGAGATGAACAGCATCCATCTCCTCTTCTTCCTTTGAACAATAGTACTCCTTAGTTTTATCTGGGCACACAGCAATCTGTCCAGAGACTACACTTTCCAGCTGTTCTTGCAGCTGGGGTGTGGCCACATGACCACAAGAAGAAATGACATACACAACTCCTGGATCACATTTTTATAAAGAAGCCACCTTTCCTTGGGCCTTTCATTCCCCTTTCCCACTGGCTGGCAGAAGCAGACAACTGAATCAGCCACCTTAGACCCAGAGATGGAAGTTACCTGTTGAGGCTGCAAGAGCCACCCTGCTCATCCCTGGACGAGCTCATAAAGCAGAATTGACTACCTGCCCCAGACAAGGCTTCCTCTGGGCTGTTAGGGGAGAGTAAAGTGAATTTATATCTTATTTTGAACTATATTGGGGGGTCTTTTTCACAGCAGCTTAATCTGTACCCTGATTCATTCAGTAGATCTGGCTACCTGCCCGCTGACATTGGTGCATACCTGACTAGATTCCGTAGTCCCCAGGTGAGGACTTCACAAATTCAGCTGAGCCGGTGCCCACCTAACCAATGAACCCAGGTATTGACAGTAAATCAGTAGCACTTGGAGACCTTGTTTTCCTAACGGGGACAGAAATGTCTTTGGTTTTAAAAGATCTACCCCAGTTCTCTAGTCTTATCTCTAAGCCTTGATTCTGGGCTAGATATTTGGTTCCCTGCTTAGCAGAAACATTTTTCTCTTTAATGCTCAATATTTGGTCTCTAACAGTCTTTGTTTTCCCCTTGTCAAAGCTATGCACAGAGAAACTAGCCGTCATTGTAAACACAAGGTGATCCAGAGAGAAAGTATCCGTGAACATAAGGCAAAAGACCAAACAGTCGTTCTCAAATTTCAGTAGCACCAAATTCATCTGGGGATTTACTTAAAATTCATATTCCCAGGCCCCACCTCAAGAAATTCTAATTCAGTAGGTCAGGAGTGGAATCAGGGAATCTACACTTTGAACACACACCACAGGAGTTTCTCATGCAGGCGTTCTGTGGCCCACGCTTCGAAAAACTCTGGTTTTCTGAGTCTTCATAAAGACTACATTATCCAAGGCAACCTTGACATCAGGAACAAGCACTGAATCTCTCTTAATTGAGTGTGCAGGTTCCGGATCAATTCCTATCAATCAATGGTGATTCTAAAGGTGTGAGTGAGGATGGGGAGAGACTGAGGACTGATAATGGCACATCTTCACTCAGTCATTATTAGGGAAAGGGAGGATGGACTAACTGAATTAGCACATCTAAGCGGGAATGGGGAAGTGATGGGGAAGGAAAATTCTAAGCGCCCTCATACTATGCATTTTCTATGAAGCTTTAAGAGCCAGTAGCAGTGCTGGAAGGGAGCTCTCATACGTGTATTAGCTTCAGCAGATTGTTAAACCGGTCCACTTCCTGTCCAAGAACGGTGGTCAAGGAGTTCAGGCGTCCTTGAGGATCCTTGACGAAAAGGCTCTCAGAAGCACCCTTCATTTCTAGTTTTTCTGAAACACATACAGCTGATTCCTCAGGTCAATCATCATTGATTTCTGTTCTCATAACATTGCTATTGTAATATGCTTATCTTAACATTTTTCTCAAGCCAACTTCTTTCATTATTTAAGCCAGATAGGCAGTGCTTAAATGTGACAACATTTCTATAATTTAGAATTCTTTGGTGACTTACCTGTGTTTTATTTAGAAGCAATCACAGAAAATCGGGCTTATATTTATGTTTATCACAGAATATCTATCTATCCATCTATCTACCTTGAACATTAAGCCAGTGCATTTCATTTCTTCCCTTAAAGCATGGTCCTAATGGGTATTTTCATCTTCTCTGCCAGTTTGAGCTATGAGGTCTAGGGCAGGTCCTTGATTCCTTAAGTAAGATAATAGAGAGACTGGCTGTGCTAATGTAGAAGGAGGACATGAACAGGAAAAACTAGGGATGCCTGCTCCTTTTTATTCTGGGTGACTGGGGGGAGGAGGAAAGGGGTTGAGAGGGAAGAGGATGAGGTGGGCAATCAGTGTGGCTCAGTGGAATCTGCAAGTTTTTTTTTTTTTTTTTTGTCTTTTGTCTTTTTCCGTGTCCGGCAACGGATCGCAACCCTCAGTGTTGCCCCCGTACCGGACCGGGGACCGGCAACGGGATTGCAACCCTCGGTGTTGCTCCCGTGCCTCGCTCAGCCAGTGAGCGGGAACCGGTCTATATGTGGGATCTGAACCCTTGGGCGGGAGCGCCGCCGTGCTTCCCAAGCGGCGCACTTATCCAGTGCGCCACCGGGCCGGCCCGGAATCTGCAAGTTTGATGAGGGGTTTGTCTGAAAGGGTCTCCGCAGTGGACAAGGAGGCTTGGCAGGAGGGCACAGGAAGGTGTGCCTGGTGTGGCTGAATGGGAGGCACAGCCCTGAAGACTTCAGTGGCAAATACTAGCAGGACAAAGTGGCTACCCAGCAGACAAGGGACATTCCAGAGACCAGAGAGCCAGGGACCCTGAGTCTCCCCCTCTGCAATGCAGGTGTGTAAGCCCTATTCTTCCCTGTGTACTCACTGCATCTAGGAGAGGAGGGGTTGGGGACAGGAGACTGGGAGATGAGAGAGACCTAGCATTTACCCCAGTTTACTGAGCATTATGCAAGGGGACAGACTGAATTATTAAACAGGCTGTGGTTCAGACTGGATGGATAATTCAGCTCTTCTTTTTCCCTACAGTTCACCAGATGAAGACCCATAAGAGCTATAAAAGAGGAAGGAACTTCATTTTCCTTGCATACGTGAGGAAGGTGTGGGTAAACAAGTTTCCCCAAAACATTTATATCAAATTCCTTCTCGGCCACTTGCAGTTTGGATGCTGGAGGAAAATCGCCCAGCAGCGTGGGTTAATCTCTTGTGTCCAGAGTGCTGCTGTTATGTGTCCCTGGTCTTCTACATCTACCATTTCCCTCAGGGGCCATTCCAAACCCTCAGTTCTTTTGTTCAGAGAATTGCATCCCTGTCCCCTTAGTCTCAGCAGATGACCTGCTTATCGCCTCATGGTAAGAGTAGAAGCTCTATGCAGCTTGCAGAGAAAAGCCTCCTAGGTGTCAGTGGAACTCTATGAAACAAGTACACTCTTTCTCTAGCCATTCATCCATCTATCCCTTTTCCAACCAGCCCATCATCTTATATGCATTGATTAAAAATTGCTTACTAAAATAATTGACCCAGTTTGCTTCAACATCAACAGAACTCTTTACCCAAGTAGACGTTCTTTTGGGGGCCCTTTCCTAGGAGGCAGATAACTGGCTTCTGAGGTCACACAGCTCTGTTTCCTCTGTGGGCCTTAAGACTATCAGGAAGACTCAGTCACTGGCTTTTTTCTGCCTCAGTTTTCTTTTTCCTATAATGACATCTCTTCCAACCATGAACAATAGACTAAGAAATCTAAATCTACGGCCAATCCAAGAAAAGTGTGGGATTGGATCTCTTGTGATCAATCAGGAAGATTCCAACGTGAAATTAATTTAGCCATTTCTCCTGAATGGAGAAAAAAGTTGAAATAGATTCTAAAGCAGGACTATCCAATAGAAAGAACTTTTACAATTATGGACACGTTCTCTGTGTTGTCCAATATGATAGTGCTTAAAATATGGTTAGTGCAACTGAGGACCTAACTTTTAAATTTTATTTAATTTAAATTTAAGTTTAAGTAGCCACATGTGGTTAGTGGCTACTGTCTTGGAAAGCACAGGTTTAGAGACATTAGAATAATGAAGTGAAGGAAAGTTCAGGAAAAAGTCTGGTTAAAGTTACATGGGGCTAGAAACCAACTTGCTCCAAATGGTTCTGGTAGTTGAGGTGTTGAGGTGCTATAGGCTTCTGGTCTATAAATGGAAAGCTCCATGTCAGAAGAACTCTTTAAGTAAAGAAAAGTCTATGTAATCAGCAGGTACCGACACCTGCTTGTCATTCAGCTCTCTAAGTTTATTCCTAAAATCCCCATTATATACAGATGTGAGGAAACATTTATTACCTGGAACTCTGGTCCGGATAGACGCCACAAGTTCTTGGACAATTTCATCATTGCTTTTTCCCTTTCCACCAGTAGATGAACGTGGCTGAACCTCAAGTATGGTGTTGATTAAAGTGTTGGTCTCTTTGTACTGTTATGGTGGTAAGAGACAGACAGAGAAGACTCAAATTCTCAAAAAATAATATTACAGCACATATAGTTTACTTATAGAAATGAGGGCAGTTCTCAAAACAAGGACACCATTTTATTTTATTGTAGAACACTTAACATGAAATCTACCCTCTTTTTTTTTTTTTCCTTTTTGTCTTTTTTACTGACCGGTAAGGGGATCGCAACCCTCGGTGTCGTGCCCATACCGGGGACCGGCAACGGGATCGCAACCCTCGGTGTTGCGTCCGCACCGCTCTCAGCCAGTGAGCGGGAACCGGTCTCCACATAGGATCCGAACCCTCGGCGGGAGTGCTGCCGCACTCCCAAGCAGCGCACTCTCCAGCGCGCCACTGGGCCGGCCCTGAAATCTACCCTCTTAACAAATTTTTAAGTACACAATACTTTTCTGTTGACTCTAGGTACAATGTTGTACAGCAGGTCTCTGGAGCTTATTTATCTTGCTTGACTGCAACTTTAACCCATTGACTAGCAAATTCCCATTTCTCTCTCTCCCCAGTCCCTAGCAACCACCATTCCACTCTTTGTCTATGAATATGACTGTTTTAGATAACTTCATACAAGTGGAGTCATGTAGTATTTGTCTTTCTGTGACTGGCATAAGGAAATTTTATATTTTATGTTGAAGATAGAGTTGTAAAATGTGCTCATTGGAACTGCATAGTAAATAGTTGTTACTGTTATACTTAAAATTGTATTGGTTAAATAATAATGTAAATGCACTTAATGCCACTGAACTGTACATTTAACATGGTTAAAATAGGACTGGCCCATGGCTCACTTGGGAGAGTGTGGTCCTGATTAACACCACGGCCACGGGTTTGGATCCCTATATAGGGATGGCTGGTTAGCTCACTTGGGAGAGTGTGGTGCTTTCAAAACCAAGTCAAGGGTTAAGATCCCCTTACCGGTCATCTTTAAAAAAAACAATAAAAAAATAAAATGGTTAAAATAATAAATTTTATGTCATATGTATTTTACAACAATAAAAAATGATTAAAATTTTTTAGCTAGTAATTTAAAATGTAGTTATGAAGCTGAGAAAGAAATCATGATAACACAATTTTTGGGTATACTTTTACTTAAATAACATTTTTTTCAATTAGAAAAGTATGTGGCTTATAGAATATTTAGAAAACACAGAAAAATACAAAGAATAAATATTCATAATCCTGCTTTGCAGAGATTATTTACAACATTTAGTTTACCTCCACTTAGACATTTTCTTCATATATGTGCATATAGTTTACAATATTGAGGTCATACAATATATGTAGTATTCATTCATTTTCAATATTATGAGCATTTTCTCATACCACTGAAAAATCCTAATTAACCATGTTTTAAGTGACCATGTGATATTCTGTGGTATGAATGTACCATAATTAATTTAGTTGCTTATCTACTTTTTTGACATTTCTAGTTTTTAGAGCTTATTGAACTCTGGGAATAGAATATCTGTATATGAGTTTTATTCACTACCTTTGAAAATCTTTAAGTGATAGATTATTAAAAAGAATATTTTAAAACTAAGTATTACCATATTGGCATCAATTTATACTACCAACAATAGTATATCAGAGGGCCTGTCTTTCTGTGTCTTTGAAAGAATTTTATTGCTTAAAAAATCTTTTCCAATAGATTTAAAATAGTTTCTCATTGTTTTGTACTTTGAGGATTAGCAGATTTAAGCATTTAAAAAATATGTTTATTGGCTATCTGGATTACTCCTTTATAAGTTATTCATATGTTTTGTATATTTTTGATTTTTAGTGTTTTTTCTTATTGACATAAGGGATAATTCTATAATAAGGAAGCTTAAATTTTGTTTAAAAATGTTTCAGTTTGCCATTTATCTTTTAACTTTATTATGACTTTTTTGATATACATAGTCACATCTGGTGCCTTTCTCTAATGTGATTTATTTTTCCATTGCTTTTTATGCTTAGAAATTCCTATTCCAAGTCCAGTTAAAAACTCTGAATTTTCTAGATTTTTCTTCTACTTAGAAACATGGTATCTTTCTCACGTATACTTGTTTGAATCTCTTAGAAATCTCCTTTATACAGATCTCACACAGTTCTTATGAGGGTAATTCTTTTGCTGTTTCATGTTCAGATGCCCATGTGCAGTCATGCTTCCAGAACAGGTGGTGGGATGTTCTATGGTATTTTCCAAGGCTCTCCAAATCCATCCCACTCCAATCTCTAGTCCTCGGCCTTGAATTCCCAGCCACAATACTCATCATTCACTTACCTGAGAGAGAAGCTCAGAAAATATAACCTGGGATTCTACATCTTGACTGTTAAAATTATATTTTATATGATAGACACTGTTTAAAACATTGCTTTTGACATATTCATTAAGTTCTAAACACACATATAAAATTATTTACTTAGTGCTATAGTTAAATAGTTTGGTGTCCTTATTCAGTGCCAGACATTTAATATTATGACTTTTTCATTTTAGTTCTTGATTTCTTGGTTGGATGAAATGCATCTTTAAAGGTTTAGTGCAGCCAGCCTGGTATTGCTTCCTATGTAACTGAGTTGGAGATTTCTAGTGCACAGCCATTCCCAGTTCTCCTCTTCTTTGGGGCATTGTGAAGATGACACTTTCCCTAACCCTTGCAGTTAGGCAGGTCTCATGACTATTCTGGCCAAGGAATTGTGAGCTGAAGTGATGATGGGCTACCTAGGCTGAGGCAGTGAAAAGCCTATGCATAATTTTCTAGCCTTTCTCTTCTCATGCTGCAATGAACAGAGGCCATTTGTCCTAGTTAATAAAGCCACAATTTAATAGTGCCTCTTTCAGACTCAGTCCCTGAGTGACTGTGTGAAGCAGACCCCCTCTATCATTCTGCCAACATAATTGTGGATTAAGTCACTGGGATCTGAATAATTTTTTTTACTGCAGTATAACCTAGTACATCCTGAGTAATATAGTAGCTTATTCACACTTTTTTTTTTTTTTGCTGGTGGTGGGGTGAGCTAGATGATAACATGACCTTTTTCTTGTCACTGTTCTTAAACTTTTGCCAGAATCTGTTCATTCATAACTTCAGTTTTTTTTTCCAACACAGCAAAAAGTGATTCAAGACTCTCTTGAATTATTGCTTATGTTTCTTATTGTTTTGTTGAATCTCTTTGCTCTATCCTCCATATCTATTATCATCTCTAATCATTTTGTATTTTTAGACATTTTAATCTCCATTCTGGAAAGCTTATTAAGTTTGTTCCCTAAATCACAGGTGTGATGATATTCTTATATCAGTTCTGGTCTTTAAAGTTTCCAAAGCAATTTTTAACTTTTCTATGGTATTTGTCATTTCCTCGGAGTATTTCATTTTCATAATCTTATGGAATCTTTTGTATTTACACCTCAGCCTGTTCTCAAATTTTGGATTTCATTTGTTTAAGCTATATCCTACATACTATTCCAGATGTCAGAACATATTACTTATTTTCTGGTTTCTCTAATAGATGATTTACAGAGGCTGAGTCTGAGTCTTATTGATGGTGTTTTCTATCCCATATCTGTCAGTATGTTTTTTTCTTCCCTATTTACCCAGGCTTTGTTGTTTTTTTCTTTCCATTTATTCAGGCTCTAATGAGAAGAGAGATAATAGATCTCTGTTTGCCCACAGACAGCATATGCAGATGGCCCTTGACACGTGCTCATTATCCTCTTGGGAGGCAAATTTCTTCCTTGCATCTCCAGCTGATGAACACAGGTCAAGGTCCAAATTTCTTTACTAGTTTCTAATAAGCATCTATGTCAGTATAGCTTGCTGGGCTGAGGAAGGAATACTTTATATCTTTTGAGCTAAAACTGTTGGTTGCAAGAGTCAGAATTATCTAATCTCAACCAACTAAAGCAAAGAAGAGGAATCCGTTTGCTCATGTAACTGGGAAGGAGAGAACACAGTTGTGTGGGTCTCAGGTGAGATGTGGTGGAATATGCCACACCAAAATAAGCCACTTTGACATAAGGATTACTTTTTGCTAAAGGCAACTTGAAAAACAGCAGATGCAAGAAGAACATTCTAATCTCTCCCTTTTCCCTGAAAACAGGAGATAGCATTTCCTTTGTGAAAGATGCCCTCCCTGTACCAGGAGAAAAGAAACATTCTTTGGTGGGAGTCATAGCCAAGAGAATTCTCTACAAGCAGATCTTGCGAAAATCATTCTTATCTGCGTTTAGCCTCCCCACACAGTTCAGTTACTTTTTCATAATTTCCTCTCTTTGTTCAACCTAATACAAAAGCATGTACGTTTTCACTTCTTTGGGTTTTCATTTCATTATGAGGGCTCCCATGCCACGTAAAACCCATATATTAAATTTATATGCTTTTCTCCTGTTAATCTATCTTATGTCAATTTAATTCTGTGGGCCGGCTGGGACCCTAAGAAGATACAGATGGAATTTTGCCGTCCCTACACAGGCATGAATGGATCTAACGCTCTTTTTCCTGTGCATGCTTGACTGTCTACTTTGCCCTCATTCTTTCTTGTGGCAGATGAACTTCTTCCATTGTAGAGGGGAGCGTGAGGGTCAAGGTCACAGATAGCTGCAGACATACAGGTTCCCAGTCAGTGATTCCAGAGCCAAGTGAGAGCTCTCCCTCACTCCAGTATGTGTGTGTGTGTGTGTGTGTGTGTGTGTGTGTGTGTGTGCTATCTCAGATAAGGACTCTTATTCACCTGCACGGGTCATGTAGGTTCTCCTTGGACCGATTACAATGATGAAGGGAGGGAGTGCTGTCGCTGGCCAGGACTGAGCCCATATGTCCACCTCTGTGGAGGTGGGGGGTGGTTGGAAGTCTTATCAGAATTTCAGAGAATGGGGCAGGGGCAGTTGCCCCAAAAGAAAGATGTGGGAGTGGGGCATGGATTAATCTAGAAAAATGGAGAAAGAGAGGCTGCACAGAAACATACCAGGGGGCTGCTGACATACCTGCTGTCTCAGTTATTCTGAATTAACGGAAAATACAAAGAGCTACACTCCAGGTATATGTGCCAAGAACTTTGCCCCTACCCACAATGTTGTCCTTCTCACAGGATGTAGTGAGCTCTACCATAGCCATGCCCCCTTTCCTTCTCTCACCCGCTCCCTCCCTTCCTCACCCCACCTCTCTGGAACAGAAAGGAATAAATGTTAACAGTTGGTTTGGCCACCATTTTTTTTCTCCTGAAAGTAGAATAAGGAAAAGTAAGATGCATTATTCCAACCCCTTGCTGAATGGCAAAACTATCTTAAAGGCAGAGAACATGAAATAAGGTGTCAGCATTGACCTCTTGCTGCTCTTTCTGGGGGGTCTGCTGTTGTTTTGCGTGGGTTCCTTGATATCTAGGCAGACTTCATCCTCTAACAGTGATGGGGCAAAATTTAAGTTGAACAGAAAGATGATTCCCCTCAGTCTTATGAGGCCAAATGTAGGTCCCAGGCTTCAGAGTTTTCTAGAGCCCCAGGGATAAACCTCAATTCATGGCTTTGGTTCATCCACAGATTCCTGTCCATGGCAGGTGATGAAACTGGAAGGGTAGGCAGGGCCCAGGTCATGGGGGAGCCTCGAGTGCCATCCTGAGGAGCTTGGACTTCCCTTAGGTAATGGTCTTACACAGAGGGGAAAATAATCCAGTTTTCTCTTTGGACCTATTGCTATGGTCTGGTACCATGACCACTCTTTAATAAACACTGTTTCAATTTACCTTCTTTGGACATTTGTTACTTTACTTTTATAATGTAATCATCCATAAATCTTTGTGTAATATAAGACAAATGTGCCCAGCACAAAGGGAGAAGAGCAAAAGAGAAAGGATTATATTATCGTCCAAATCCCCATGTTATGGTGGGCTATGAACAGGTAGATTATGGACTAGGTAGAGGCCTGGAGATGGAGGGGTTTGGCCAGTGCAGGAACAATGCATGATGATTTTAGGATTCTGTGAAGGATCCAGAGGGAACAGGCTAAACTGGAACCAAATGCTGTAGTCAAGGTGAAACAATTCTTTTATTTGTTTATTTAAGAATATTGTAACTCAGAGCTAGTGAGGTGATTACTGATGAATTTATATATACAACATAAATATGTATTTTAAGTTGAAAGTCCACATACCTGAAAAACTAGGTTGGCATTTTCATGCATTCCAAAAATTTCTGGGTCATCTATCAAAGGCAGATTTTCAATGTAGTCCCTAAACTCTTGTAGGCTATCAGCCATGGGTGCAAAATAGATGCCTGTTATTAAAAACACAGAGACAAATATGTTTCAGATAGACTGGCTTTGTACTGCCAAGGTTGGTCCTTCTCTGACTGGTTTAGATGGTGGCTGCAATCAACTGCCTCACATAGAAAAGGGGATTGTTTTTCCTAAGCTTAACTGCTTTCATTGCTGTGTCTGGGTTTGTTACTTTTTCTTGAGGCCTTGAGCATCTGATTTGTGTCCTAATCTTTTAGAGTGTCTCCTCCAGAACATTTCAAAATTCTGAGAATCCAGGGATATGCTGCCAAAAGGTGTGCCTCATTAAGGGCTCCAAATTTATGCTTGTGTCAGAGACTGCTTTCACATTTGTTTGATAAGCAACTACAACCCTCTCCAGTTCCCCAAACCAAAAGCTACATTTGCAAAACACTGAAATCTAGGGTCACTCAATTTTCCATAGAGATTATAGGATATACAGTTGAATCTTGTTAGCTCTGGGGGTCAGTCTCTTACTACTCAGTGGTAGGAGCTTTTGTGAGTGCTCTCTGTACTAATCAGATTGCTCCCTTCAAGGGGATCGACTCTCAGGACCATTAATCTACCTGCTCTCTGACTCATAATGAGCTATCACAAATTCACAGACCTGTTTTTTACTTAACTTGCTGTAATGGAAGATTTAAAAAAAATTACATTCAAAATGTACTAGAATATAACTTTGAAAACACATTTAGACACAATGCAATCAACTTTAATACAGAAACAATTCAATATGGTTACTGCGTAATATGTATCTTTGTGTTTTTATTATCATACCAGCTTTGAAGGTGGTCAAGCATGAGGTGGGGTGGGTTGTGAAGACTGGACACCGACAGTCCCTGGGTGGATAACTCAAAGACGCTATTAATGACTTGGGAAAGGTCTTTTCCATAACACTGAAAAGTCATTCACCTGATTCAGAATATTTGTAATCATCTTCTAATGTTTCAGGAGAAAAAAATCTTTTCAAGACAGTACGAAGGCATCTTTGATCCCAGGTGTCTGTAACTCTACCGCCATATGTAATTTCACCTGAAAAAGAATTTGCATTTTAAAATATATTACTTTTTTTTTAATTGATAAGCATACCCAAATTTCATAGGCTTATCTCTATGCACATTTATTTGGTACTGAAAATGGAAAAAGCATATCAGAACTCACTTCCACTACTCCCAAAAAGAGAATAAAAGTTAATTTTTAAGAAGCAGAAAAAAAAAATCTAGTATACATATGTACCCTACCCTAATTATTTTGCTTTTTCCAAATAACAGAAACTAAAGCCACTGAGCTCTATTTACATATTTCTTCCTTCTTGTGCCTTTGCTTCAAAATATTGATTTTGAGTCTTATCCCACCATTGCCTGCAGTATTCTAAAATATACACACTTGCCATGGAAGTGCTTCTTCTTGGGGCCAGTGAGTAAAATGGAACCAAACATTTGTGAAAGAGACACCGTGGCTCACAGAAATTATGTTATGGAGAAATAAAAATTATTGGTATTCTATCTTTCCACAGAGAAGCTACTTTCAATTTGCTCCATCGTTTTTGCAAAATTATGAGTAGGAAATAACTGCACTGGAATGATATCCATTGTTGATATAATTCCTTGGGAAAAATCTAGATCCATTGCTACAATTCACCATCCATCACTGTAGTGTTCCTGGAAGGATTTCATCTATGAAGAACTGATATTGTTAACTCCTGATCCATTCTTATCTCCACTTTTCTATTAGGTCAGAAAGAAATTTTTTTCCCTTCTCTTTCAAGCTGAGATGGTTGGTTGAGAGAAAGCTATTTCAGTCTTTCAAATCTCAATAATTTATTTCTTCCAAGATAAAAATGTCCGTACTGCTACGTTTCTTCTCCTGTTGGAGCACCTCATGTCAGTTTTATTGGGTCAGCCACTCCAGGGAGAGGGCAGGAGAAGTATGTACCCAGGCTGATGGTCAAGTAGCGGAATCCCTGTATTAGCAGTTCTAAGAAGGAAGGAAGAGATGCTCTGTACCTTCTTGGGAATATTCTTCAGCCCTGCCCTGGGAAGTCTTGGAACACAAAGTTGGGTTAAACCTCTGTAATGGGTCCATCTAGTCTGGACTCACCAGAAGCTCCTAATTTGAAGCTCCTCTTGGGTCCTTGGAGCTGGATGGGAATGTAAAGCTCAAGTTTCTCCAACTGCATGATGGTGTCCAGGAAAGGAGACTGTTCTGAAGTGTGTTATTCTAAAACATGTTTCATACTAAAATATCTGCATTTTGAGAAGCAGCACAGATATGTTTTCCTTACAAGTCAACAGAATTTGTGCTTCTCTGTTCAGATTTGGTTTTACCCCTTTTCTTGGATCAAACTGAGCAAATGGTGATTTTTCTTTTTGAGTTGTGAGAGTTCTCTATATGCCTTGAATAAGTCCCATGTCAGCTATATGATTTGCAAATATTTTCTCTGTCTTCGTTTTTTCCTTTTCACTTTCTTGATGGTGTTTGTTGAAGTGTAAAAGTTTTAAGTACTGATGAAGTCCAATTTATTACTTTTTCTTTTTTGCTTGTACTTTTTGTGCCATATCTAAGAAGTCACTGCCTAATCCAAAGTCATGAAGATTTACTTCAAAGCTTTCTTATAAGAGATTTATATATTTATCTCTTACTAATAGGTTTATCATTTTGAATTAATTTTTATGTATGGTGTGAAACAAGAGTCCAAATTCATCCTCTTGCAGATGGATATCCAATTGTCCCAACATTTGTTGAAAAGACTAGACTATCCTCCCTCCACTGAATTTTTCTGGCACCTTTGTTGAAAATCAATTGGTCACAAATGTGAAGGTTTATTTCTGGATTTGCAATTCTGTTCCATTGATTTATATGTCTATTCTTATACCAGTATCACACTGTCTTGATTATTGTAGCTTTGTAATAAGTTTTGAAATTGGGACATGTAATTCTTTTGACTTTATTCTTTTTTTTCACGATTGTTTTTGCTATTTCAGGCCCTTTGCATTTCCATATAAATTTTATGATCAGCTTGTCAATTTCTGCCTCAATGCCAGCTGAAATTTTGTTAGGGATTGCATTAAATCTTTAGATCAGTCTGGAGTATTGCTATTCAAAAATATTGCCTCTTGATCCATGAGAATGAATGTCTCTTCATTTATTTAGGTGATCTTAAGTTTTTTAAAGTAATGCTTTGTAGTTTTCAGTGCACAAGTCTGCAATTATTTGGCTAAATTTATTCCCAAGTACTTTATTCTTTTTGGTGCTACTGTGAATGAAATTTAAAAAATATTTTTAGATTGTTCCTTGCTAGTGTATAGAAATGCTGTTGATTTTTGTATATTGATTTTGTATCCCACGACCTTGATGAACTTGTTTATTATTCCTAGCTTTTTTATTTTGGAGGGGGGGTTCCTTAGGATTTTCTACATACGTGACCATGCCATCTGTGAATAAACACAGGTTTTCTTCTACTCTAATCTGATGTCTTTTGTTTCTTTTCCTTGTCTAATTTCCTGGCTAGAACTTTCAGCACAACATTGAATAGAAGTAGCAAGACAGATGCATCTTTGTCTTATCCCTTCCTATCTTTTTAAAATCACAATTACTTCCCTAACAGTAGAGATTGAAGTAAGCTGAAAGATGAAGGGTTCTAGCAGTGGGAGAAGGAAGAAAAAGGTGGGGAACAGGAAATTTCAGGGTAGGTAGAGGGTACCAGAGAACATTTCTGCCTACATCACCACTTTGCTAAGTGATCCTGGCCCCACTGGGGTGGCTGGGGCAGGTGTACAAAGTAGCCTCCTAGATGTGAGGCCCTCCCCTGTTGGTCCACCCTGGGAACTAGTCCTAATCTATTTTCACTGTTGTTTTGCTGCCCTTGTCTCAAACATTTTAAGGTTTCATTTTGCCTTTCAAGGCTCTAGATCACTTGATACCCCTGTGTCTGCTCTCCATTTCCTATACTCACCAATAAAAACCATATACCACCTTTCTGCCCCTTTTTTGAACTCTCTCATCCCCCCACTTCCCAGTGCAAATATCCTCTCCCTCATTACTTGAGCCCACATGGTTCAAATTGAATCTAATTATGCAACAAGATTCCTATCTAGCCACAGTTAATATTCACCAAAAATTTAATTCCTGAAAGATTTTTCCTTTTTCACAAGTATACCTGAATGAACAGGTCTCTACCAGTCAATCAATGTTCAGATTCTTTTGAATTTAAGACCATAGACTCTGGAGGCTGTACTGCCTCGGTTCAAATCTTGGCTTCACCATTTGTAAACTGTGTGCCTTAGTTTTCTCATGTGTAAAATGGGGGATAAAAATAGTCCCCACCTTCTAGTGTTGTTGTGAGGGTTAAATCTGCTAATTCATGGGAAGTGCTTGAAGTAATGCCTGGTGTGTAGCAAGAGCTATATTAGGTTTCTCCTATTATTATTATTTGGGAAAATATCTACCCCATTTTCCATGTGTAAATATTCTCGAGATGTCCTTATTATATGTTCCTATCACAGATGTCTTGTCTTTACAAAGGGAACATCAGAAATCATCACCACCATTAAACACTGGGAGAAGATACCATCTTTGTATGAGCCAGGTGGGTGTAACCCAACAACTTTGTGGTACACAGTTGGATGCCCTGACCACATGGGCATACTGACCAGTAATGTAAATTAGTGCATCCCAGGGAATCCTTCCTTCTTGACAGTAAAGGTTGAGGTTCAGTAAAGCACATTCCCTGTCACTGTCGTTAAATTCATAGCAGATATTCCAACCAAGGGGACCAAACTTCTTTCTCTCCTAGAATGGAAAATAAAAACAGTCTGAAATAAAATTTTATAAAATCAGTTTTGTGTAAAATATTGAAAATTAAAAGTTTCCATTGAAGTTGGGCATCCCCATACTGCAAAATCAGTTAAATCATGCAGTTCAACTTCAGCTAGGCTTTCGCCAAACAGGGGAAGCACCTCTTCCTCCAATACTGGCTCCTCTCCATGTTTCCAAGGAAAATTTGCTATTACTAGAGATTTGATAGACCTGTCAAAAGAACGTTTGTTCTTCAGGGTAGAATAGAATATTTTCCCATGATTATATACTGACTTCTCTATAGGGTGATCTTTCCAAACTGGGACAGTTTCATGACATTCCATGGTGAAATTTCCTTCCTCTTTGTTACCTCTCTATCCTACCTTAATTTCTTAATTCTCAACAATGATCATGCCAAAGAATTGGTCCCAAGTTCCCTCTCTTGATCTCAGAATTTTCCTAAATCTTAAAGTATTTCTTTATTTCAGCTGCTTTTGTTAGAGAAACAAAGGTCTCACACCCAGAGCCCTGATACCAACCTTTCAGGCCTCCCTTAGGACATTAAACCTATTTATTTCATATCTTGCATCTTTAATCTTTGTTTTTTCTTTATTGATACTTTCTCTATAGACCACACACATTTGAAAACCAAGAAGCCAGTCTAATTAAGATGCCACCTACAGATATGTAGCTGGAGAGTCAGAATTTAAGCAGGTGGTCACAGGATGGATACCAGACCAAGCAGTGAGGTTTGAACAGAGGGAAGGGTACAGTGGTGCTGAGTTGAAGGTCATCTTTCAGGGGACTTTGGGCCCCAGGCATAGGTGGGGAGGAAGCGTTAAGGGTGGTGAGTCCCCTCAAAGGAACAGGCGAGAGTAAAACAATTACAAGAAAAATAAGGAGGACTTGGTGACTGAGAAAATACATATGCGTGAAAAGCAAGGATAAAAATAATCCTGAAATTCTGATGGTAAGTGATTGAGAAAACGGGACCAATTTCAAATGTAGTCTCTGGAGGGGAAGCAGCTTTTGGGTGTGAGGCAGAGCTGAGAAGATCTGTTTTGTGCTTGTTGAATCAGACCTTCTGCATCCATCCAGGTGATGGGGTTCTGTAGCAGATCAGAATAGAAGTGGGAGCCCAAGCTGTGAAATACTGAGGTAAAGGGAGTATACAGATTAAAGGCTGAATTAAGACAACTTGGGTTCAGACACAGAACGGGGCCCTCTGTGTTTCACAATGCCATTTGCAAGCTTTCACTTAATTTTTACTTTTTATGTATTTATTTACAACATAATACACTTCTTGGTTGCTATTAAAGAGCAGAATTGAGGGCCGGCCCCGTGGCTCACTTGGGAGAGTGCGGTGCTGGGAGCACCGAGGCTGCGGGTTCGGATCCTATATAGGGATGGCCGGTGCGCTGAGTGTGGTGCGGACCACACTGAGCTGGGGGTTATGATCCCCTTACAAGTCAGAAAAAAAAAAAGAAAAAAAAAAAAAGCAGAATTGAGCGTACCTGAATAATTGCGTGGAAGAAACAAATGCCAAATATTATTTGTCTCCATTTTCTTCCAAGTATATTTTCTTCAAAAAACGAAGGTGTCATTTCAGTAAATGCTCGTCTGATATTTGCACGTAAACCTTTCGGAGGCTCGTTGGTTACCTGGATTTAGATAGAACATATACTGCAGAGAGGGTGATTTTATAGATTTGTGTTAGTTCTGAATAACACACATAGATTGAACATTGAGAGGATGTAGATAACTGATTCCCATGGGGATGTTTCTGGCACGTTCGAGCCTGTTTTGTGTCTCACTCAGCCAAGTCCAGGGAGAATAGGGCCTGGCAGGGTCCTCAGACCTACAGTGGTTGAACCACCTGCACAAGAACCTCAGGCACCTCCATTTCGTGTCCATTTTTCTAAATATGGGCCAGAAAGCATGCTCAGGCTTCCTCTATAGGATTTTGCGATCATTCCAGCACATGGCTTTATACCATGATATCCCACGACATGGGGCAGGGAGGGAAGAAGCACTTCTTGGTCCTCATATGCAGAGGCTTCCCACATTGGAAACTTCCAGCATTGAAATCCAGCAGCCATACCACCTGTACGCCTTCCTGCCTCTCAAATGCTGAAAGATTCCCTTACTCTGGGAGGGGTTCTGTTCTCATTTCTCTACATTTTCTTGCAGAGGGTGAGAGCTGGAAGAGTTGAATGACCAATAGGACTAGGACATGCAAGGATGGGCACTGGCTTGGGAAATAGTTTCCCTGCTTGCTCTCAGGTGAAAGGATACTGACTTCCACCTCCCCACCCAGACGACACAGACCTCGGCATGGTTCTGTGCAGGGTCTGAGCCTGGAGCCACTATGCAAACACTCTGAGACCAATCATTTCACATTGTTCCAGCCGTACACACACATTACCTTGACTGAATTTTGAAGAACTGTAACAGGAAAGGTACTACTAGGCATAGAGCTTAAAAAAAGTCGAAAAGTGTCCTTGATAGGATTATCTGTTTAAGCCAAAGACAAAACAATAAAAAAGGAAAATGTTTAGTTTGTGGTAGCACTTTTCTTCTGTCAAAAATAATTATCCTGGGGAAGGAAAACAATGCTGAAAGCTCTGTTTAAAGATCTGATTAATCTAGTTTGAGCATGTTGCAAACTATTTTAAAACAGGGGTGGGAGGATTTATTCTGGAAACTTTATGTCAGGAGGGTTTGGCAGTCCAGAAGCTGGCACATTTGCGTAAAAAAATTAGAGACATTAAGTTTTAATACTTAATGAGATATTAAGGGCCTTCCCTTTGAAGTGGGACAATTTTTCAATTGAAAAAGAGGACAGTTACCGCCAGTGCATTTATGATCATGGATTTTATTTTTGAACCCTCAACTTAAGGCAAATTGCATAAAAATGGTCAGAAAGCCCTAGGGAGAAGAAAGGGATTTCTCCCCTCAGCAGAGAGATGTTGCAAAAGTAACAGAGGGAGCAGGGGTATGGAGAGACCCCAAGCACAGCATCAACAAGTTAAGTCAGTACGCTTCCTTTCTGAGCTGTGGACATGGAACCTGTGGAAGAGTGAGCTCTGCTTTAGGTTCAAAAGGCCAAATCATGGTTGGAAAAATCATTGCTCCCATCACAGGAAGTCACAGGCATCATCCAAGGACAACTTCTGTGGCATTGGTTTTTAAGCACATATTATACTGTTTCCAGACTGCTCCCTCCCTAGGGCCTTTGCATGGACCGTTCCCTCTCCCTGGAATGCTCTTTCCTCAGATTCCCTCACTTTCTTCATATTTTGATCAAATGTCATATTCTCAGAGAGGTCTACCCAGACCACACCATTTAACATTGCTATTTTCCTTCCTCTCTGTCCCCATCCCATTCTGATCTGTCTGATCCTCTTTACCTTCCTCTCCTTTTTATTTTTTCCAAAGCACAACCACATTTTATCATATTGTTGGAGTGAGCAGGGCTGAAGCCATGTTGGAACCTAAAACTGCCTGGGCTATGGAGGGGGGCAGTATTTTAAAAAGGATAGGTTTTTTTCTCTCCACTCTTTCTTCCCATCCCCTGACTTTCTTATGTTGCTCGCTAAGTGGGAAAACAAGGCCGAGAAGCTGATTAGTACTTTGCAAAGCGAACAGTTCTTTCTTTGAGACTTGTAGAGTTTTGAGAAATGATCAAGGCCAAACGACTGGGAGCTGACCTTGGGCACCAGCCAAGTACACTGGCGCAAATCAAAATCTTGCAGGGTCCTGAGATAACAGTGAAGATGAGAACAGAAACTAGACGAGGCCTTGACGAGACCTTGTACTTGACCCATAGAAACGGACCCCCCCTCGTAACTCACATCTCCTTGTCTCCTGCTTTCAACCTCCCACATTCCATTCCCTCAACCCCTCCTTTAAAAACCCCTCAGTAAATCTAAATCTTTGAGATGGGATAGTCTACCATCTCCTTCAGATGAATGCATCTGCTTTTCTAACAGCAATCATTTGACTTCTGAGTTTTTTTTCCTTCTTTCTCAAGGGGTTGGCAGCCAGAACTGAGTTAAGTAACACTAAGTCTATTTTTCTATTTCTTTCATTATGCCTATAGGTAATATATTTCGAATTCAAATGGCCTTCCACAGCAGGCAGTATGAAACAGAAATGACCCACAGGACCATACCCTCAATTTGGAGTCTGAAAACCTTTTATGGAATCCTGGTTGTAAAACTTAACTAAACCTATTTAGGTCTCAAATTTCTCCTCTTTAACATAGGGAAACACAATGCCCACAATAAAGAATTACTATAAGGAATGAATTCAACTAAAAAAGTTACTCAAAAATGGTATTATTATGCAAATGCTACATGCTCAACATACTTAGATCTGTGAAGGTTTTAATTAGCTCTTCCATTGCCAACATCCAAGAAACAGCAAGATGACAGTTTTGCAAAAATACCCAGTTTCCTGATTTCATTGCATCTTTGATCATTTTCTCAGCAATGGGTCCTTGTCCTTGTCCCAGTGAAATTGACTGCACTCTGAATTGAACAACAAAAACAAAATATTGTTTTATGCTATTTTAAAGCAATACAAATATTAAGAAAATTAAATATAATAGACTCTTGTCTAGAATATACATACATTTCTAATCCTCATACTGATAGATGTTCAAATATTTTTTCTTATTTTCTTTTTTTAAAAAACACACTTTATTATAACACACATACTGAGAAGTGCAAAAAACAAATATACCAATCTATGAACGGTCACAAATGAACACCTGTGGTTGAGAAGAGCACTTTGCTGACACCAAGGGACATCTCCCAATGCCCCTCTCCACCCCAATTATCTCCTCTTCCTTTTTCCCAAACTTCTAACAACACTATAGATCTGTTTTTAAAAACTCAAAAAAATTGAAGAATAGTATATGTGTAGAAAAAATGCACAAATCATTAGTGTATGGCTTAATTAATTCTCCCAAAGTGAATGTGCACATATACTACTGCCCAGGTCAGAAAATAGAACATTATCAGCACCCTACCAGTCAGTAGGGTGATCCCCAAAGGCCATGACAATTTTGAATTCTAACACCACGGGTTAATTTTGCTTGTTTCTGAATTTTATATAAATGGAATCGTGTGGTATATGTTTTCTATTTCGTCTATTTCAATCAACATTATATTTTTTAGATTCATTCAAGTTATTGTGTGTCATTGTAATTCACTCATTGTCATTGCTGTATAGTATTTTACTGTGTGATTGTATTATAATTTATTCATTCATTCTGCTCTTGATGAACATTTGGGTTATTTTTGGTTCTTGGCTATTATATACAATACTGAAATAAACATTTTTGTACATCTCTTTCAATATACATGTGCACTCCATTTTGTTGTGATGTTCTTTTATATTGCCTTCTATGTTTTTATCTACAATCCATCCAGAATTGATTCATATGTGTGGTGTGAAGTACAGGTCAAAGTTCATTTTTTGCATATGGCTATCCAACTGACCCAGAACCATTCATTGAAAAGATTGTTTTTCTTCATGGGTCTGAAGTACCACTGCTATCATAAATGGTGTCCCAATATATATGAGTCTGTTTCTAAACTGTCCATTCTCTTTTGTTCTTCTATTTATCTAGCCTTGCACCAGTATCACTATGTCTAATGACTCTAGCTTTATAATAAGTTTATAGTAAGTCTTGATATCTGGTAGAGAAAATTCTCTCACCTTGTTTTTCTTCTTCAATACTGTCTTAGTTATTCTTTTTTTAAAGTTGAGGTAAAATTCACATAACATAATATTCACCATTTTGACCATTTTAAAATGTACAATTCAGTGTCTTCTAGTACATTCATAATATTGTACAACTATCACCACCATTTGGTTCTAGAACATTTTCATCCCCTCAGAAAGAAAACTCATACCCATTGTATTAGTCAAGGTTCTCCAGAAAACCAGAACCAGTTCATACACAGGCATATATGTGTGTGTGTGTATGTGTATATACCGTCATGCCTTGCATAACGACGTTTCGGTCAATGATGGAATGTGTATACAATGGTGGTCCTATAAGATTATAATGGAGCTGACAGAATGACATCACCAAGACGGTGGAATAGATGATTCCCAGCATTGCTCCCCCACCACGAGAGATCAACTTCCAACTATTAAAACACAAAAACTGCCTTCTTGAAACCTCTGGAATTTGGGAGAAGAGGATGAGAGACCAGCTGAGTCCATGAAAACATGGAAGGCCTTATTACTGCTTCAATCTCATTACTGATTACTGGTCTGTTTAGGTTTTCTAGTTCTTCATGATTCAACCTTGGTAAGTTGTATGTGTCCAGGAATTTATCCATTTCTTCTAGGTTTTCCAGTTTGTTCACATGTAATTGTTCATAGTAGTCTCTTACTATCCTTTGTATTTCTGTGATATCAGTTGTAATGTCTCCCTTTTCATTTCCAGTTTTATTCATTAGTCTCCTTTTTTGTTAATCTAACTAAAGGTTTATTGATTTTGTTTATCTTTTTGAAAAACCAATCCTTTGTTTCATCTATCTTTTGTGTTGTTTTTTTAAATTTCTAATTCATTTATTTCTGCTCTGATCTTCATTTCTCTCCTACTAATTTTAGGTTTGGTTTGTTCTTATTTTTCAAGTTTCTTGAGGTGTAACATTAGATTGTTTATTTGCTTTCTTCTTTTTTGATGTAGGCACTTGTTGCTATAATCTTCCCTCAGAACTGTTTTTCTGGTATCCTATAGGTTCTGGTATGTTGTGTTTTCATTTTCACTAGATGTGTCTCCAGGAAATTTTTAATTTCATTTTTGATTTCTTTCTTTGACCTCTTTAACACTCTCTTCTGGAGTACAGAATTTGTATTGAGAAATCCTCTGAGAGATGTTTGGGGCTTGTATTAGTCTGTTTCTCTTGCTTATAATAGAATACCTGAAATTGGGTAATTTATAAAGAAATGAAATTTGTTTTTTTTACAGTTGGGAGGCTGGAAAGTTCAAGGTCCAGGGAACACACCTGGTGAGGCCTTCCTCTACAGCAGTGATACAGGGTGTCACATGGTGAGAATGGGCTGAGCAGGACAGCTCTTAACTTCTCACTCCTCTCCTTATAAAACCATCAGAACCATGCCCACTGCTCCATGAGTGGATCAATCCATTCACAAGGGCACAGTCCTCACAATCTAATCACTCCTTAAAGGCTCAACTTTTCAAATACTATAACTGGGTTTCCCACCCTCTTAACAATGTTACAATGGAGACCAAGTTTCCAATACATGAACTTTTGGAGGACACATTTGATGCTTAGCAGGATCCCATTTGGTATGATATATTTCTTTTCTCTTGGCTGCTTTTAGTATTCTTTCTTTGTCTTTGTGTTTTTAATATTTTGATTATGTGATAAAATTCAACACTCATTCATGACAAAGACCCTCTATAAGTTAGGTATAGATGGAAAGTATCTCAACATAATTAAAGCCATATATGATAAACCCACTGCCAATATCATCCTGAATGGGGAAAAGCTGAAAGCTATTCCTTTAAGAACAGGAACTAGACAAGGATGCCCACTCTCACCACTCCTATTCAACATAGTGTTGGAAGTACTAGCCAGAGCAATCAGAGAAGAGAAGGAAATAAAAGGCATCCAGATTGGAAAAGATGAAGTCAAACTGTCTCTGTTTGCAGATGACATGATACTATATATTGAACAGCCTAAAGCCTCTACAAAAAAAACTCTTAGAGTTGATAAATGATTTCAGCAAAGTTGCAGGATACAAAATCAACACACAAAAATCAGTAGCATTTCTCTT